TGTGCAGGAAACACCAACTTTTAACAATCACTTTGTGAGTGCTGGAGCAAGGCCTGTGAGCTGCTACAGGAGGGGCTGCTCATTAATGACATCTCTCTGTGTCCTGTAGCTTTTTAGTGCTGTAAACCCAGTTTGACAAGCAGGTAACCAAATGGGTGTTCTGCTCCTTTGAATGCTTCGAAGGACCTTGTGAATGCTCCTTTCCATTCCGAAAAGCGGAGTGTTACACGCAGCTTCAGTTTTCCTTAGATAAGTAAGAGGAAGCATCTTTCAGGGGACCAGAGTTACAGATACAGCTGCTATTCCTTCCTTGGGTCAGAGGACGCATCAGGTGCGGTGAAGTCTGTGCATCGTGAGCTCCATAGCATCTTTCACCAGAGTCACAGACACAGCTGCTATTCCCTCCTTGGGTCAGAGGACGCATCAGGTGCGGTGAAGTCTGTGCATCGTGAGCTCCATCTGGAGGTTGCTTGCTCTAATCTGTGGTTTTGGGAGAAGTAGAGAGAAAATCCAGCAGCGCTGGGTTAAAATCACCAAGACCCGGGGGCATCTGGGAAAAAAAAGAGACCTTGCAAACCAGACACAGACACAGCTGCTATTCCCTCCTTGGGTCAGAGGACGCATCAGGTGCGGTGAAGTCTGTGCATCGTGAGCTCCATCTGGAGGTTGCTTGCTCTAATCTGTGGTTTTGGGAGAAGTAGAGAGAAAATCCAGCAGCGCTGGGTTAAAATCACCAAGACCCGGGGGCATCTGGGAAAAAAAAGAGACCTTGCAAACCAGAAGGGCTGGCTGATGTGGAACTGTCACTTAGAGAATGGCAGGTGGTGGAGGTGTAGCCTTTACTGTAATTTTCCTTATCCATTGGTCAATGCAGGAAACACATGGCAGAAAACCCTCCACACAGACAAGACTGTCCTGTTAGACTGTCAATGGCAGAAACAGCTGTCCTCACAAATCCCCAGAGCATGTATTTGAAAGTCTGTCATTAGTATCACCCTCAAATGTAAAGAGGGTGGTGGAGGAGACATCAATCCAATGCATGGCTCCCACAGAGTGCACACAGCAGTGGGCATGGTCATTCCAGAGGCTCAGGGCTAGGCAGCAGGCAGAAGAGTAGTGGTGTGGTAGTTTGGATGAGGCATTACTGCATGCAGCTCGCAGAGCACTTATTTGGGATGTAGAGCAAATTTTTGATGACTTCTGCCACGTGTCCAATCCTGGTGGTTTTGCTCAGCTGTCTGCATGCACAGCTTCAATTACAGTCTTCCACTGTTATCTTAAGCACTATGAACTCGGAAAAAAGTTTCAGACTGGGTCAGTATGCTTGTATGAAGTCAGAAAGGACTGAGGTGTGATCAGGCTTTCTGCCCAGCTACTCTGACAAATAAAAGCAGTTGGGAGTGGGGTACACAGGACCCTGCAGCCTATTGCTGCTCTAATATTACAGACAAAAAGTGGTGCTGTGTGGTTGAGCTAAAACCTACCAATGATGGTTGCTGCTGTTTTGCTGGAGGTCTCACAGTGCTTGCAGCAGTGAGGGGTCAGACTGATGCAGAACTGTTGAGCAGAGCAAGAGAGCTCCATGAAAAACTAGAGCGGTCTGTGCATAGGAAGGTCTTTCTGGGTGGGATCTCTTTGTTGAAGGACCTGATGCATGTTAATATACTCATTGTCCTCATATCTGAGTGGAAAAAAAATGCAGGGGCATTCTTAAGCCAAGGAACAGTCCTAGATAGTCCAAGAGCCCTTTCCTCTTCTGATGCAGTGAACATCATTGTGGGGTTAAAGAGGTCAGGAAAAGTATTTGTGGAGATCAATGTTTGTGAGATTTGCCATACACCCTATTATCACACCCATAGCTGCAAATATTATTGCCAGTGCTGTTTGCCATGTGCACATAACACTGCCACAAGAAGTAGGTGCCCCAGCTGCAGATTGCTGCACAGATCTGGGGTACTCAGATTATTTGGCCCTGCTTTTAAGTGAAAAAAAGTGTAAGATCTATGTGGAAAAGCATTTCAAACGTAGAGGCTGGAAGCATGGCCTGTGCCATGAACAGGCCTGAAAGGTATGTCAGCAGCAGCTCTTCACACCTGTGATAAAACCTCAGGTGCAGGGCAGGACTCTCTTCTCCTCTTGGGATGGGACACATGCAGGAAACCAGGCACACAGGTCAAATCACAGTTTTGCCATGGAGTTAGTGCCAGATGACCCGTGGAAAGCAAAACTGAAGGAGAACAGGAGCTTAAGGGGACATGTGGACTTCACTCAGCTGCTTAACAATGCAAAGTTTCAGGGCTATGCTCCTTTAACTTTAGAGGCTACAATGGCTGCTCAGTTATCAGGCAGCTTCTGAAAGAAAAAACATGTCTGTAATTAATCACTCACGGTGCTAAACTGACATGCAACCAGAGTTTTCATTTTCATAGACCTTACATTTCTCACCCATGAAACTAAGCAGTCTGCCCTGGGAATCAAGGCCTGTAGAAGTTATTTCCTCCATTTTTTCAACCCTGCTTCCTCCACAAGAAGATTATGACAGGGTGCATAGCCTGGTGTGTAATTTTCTTACAAAAATCAATCCTTGACATGTAACACAGACTGTCAGATCTTTGACTTGCAGTAAGACCTGGGTTACTATTGCCAGCAAGATGTAAAAATTTGGAGAGAGGCCTGCAGTTCATAGAGAGATCATGGTGATGACCTGTCACAGTAGATGAGGAGTGATGAAAAAGTGGTTTATTGTTGTGTAGATCCCTTTCTGTGTAGTATGGTGACCTCTGCTTCCATGTCCATACACTGGTTTAGAGTTATTATTGGATAAATGACATCTATAACTGGCCAAAAAGGAAAATATTCAAACCTGTCACGTTACACAGACATTGAGCATTAAGTGGGAACTTGCTTCAGAGACAGCTATGTGATCAGCAATGGCAGGACAACTACTTTCAAATATAATAGGTGGTTTTTCTGTGGTCTTATTGAATGCTACCATAAAAATGACTGGAACCATGCAGTGGACACCACCTTTGGGTGTTCCTGTTACACAATGAAACAAAAGATGGACTGCTTAAAGAGAGCAGGTTTTACCATCAGATCCATATGGGAGCACGAGTGAGCGGCTATGAAAAGAAACAGATGGGGAGCTCATGGTCTTAGCCAAGACCAAACTGCCCAGGCCCCAATCCCCAGTGATGTACTTTTGGCAGCAGGTCAATACCATTTGTCTGTACTACAAAGCAGCTCCCAATGGAAAGATACACTGACTGCCTACTTTAGGATGGTAGAAATAAATGTGTAGTTACCTCATCAGCTCTTTTTCCCAGGGCTTCTCACAAGCATAAATTGCAAATTATTGTTTCTCTTGTCTGAAACTTACCAGGCCTGCTGCCGCTGAAGCCCCTTGCAGTTTTCTGGTGCACTCTGTAGTCTAACAAGGCTCTGGACAAGGACTGTGAAACCTATGAGGTTTGGCATTTTGAATGGAGAGGCAACAGCCTTTCCTTAGATTACATAAAGATATGTCTCTGCCAGAAGCAGGAAGCTTCAGGCTGCCCAGCCTGGTGTGCAGATGCAGACAAAATTCCACTAAATATGTTGAAGACTATAGGCAGAAATACTGTTTTGCAGCTTGAGCCTATTAAGTAAAATTCTACAAAATGTCAAGTTGCCAAACTGTTTAGCTTTGTGTTCCATTGCTACAACACTACCATTGCAGAACCAAGGAGTTGTATGGTTCACCCTAGCTTCTGAATGTGCCCTCCTGCAATCTGTCCATGAGGATACAGCCACTGTCTGGTGGACGCACACCGAAGGATGTAACCCTAGAGTGCAAGACTGTCATTTCTGCAGCTTTCCTCGTGAACCTGTGGTTGTGCCTAGAGCTACAGAACCCCTCAGATGCCCTGCATGACCTTGCATTTACCACAACACAGGCTCTGGGACAACTGTGAGTCATCCAAGGGATCGCCCTAGTCAGTGAATATTTAGAGGAGCCAATGAGTGATGACCACATTACCAAATTGGGGGCTTCAGGTCCCAAGCACTGTTTTACGGTTAAAGGCTGGACTCCAAGTGCAACAAACAGAAGAGATCCATTTTATTGTGAGAGCTCAGAGGAGCTGGGCAGGGACAGGCAGGCTTGGCAGTGCTCCTAAGATCCTGACAGCCCTTTGGTGGCCTCGTTGGAGGACTCCATAGTCCTGGGGTACACTTGAGCTTGCTCACACCCTCCCGCCCTCTTTTAACTCCCCTTCCACCCCAAAGAGGACTTGATCTGCAGCCTCAGAAAGTCAGGGGTATGTACTTGCCCTTTGCTTTTGTTTAATTACTTCCATTTACACTGATATGAGGAGGTTGCCCTTGCTGTAGCAGGAGGGAGTGAGTGCCTGCACTGATGGATCCTGGGGTACAGGGAAAACATTAGGCTCTTCCAATAAACACTTGCAGCACTGTCACCTCTCTGTAATAATGCCTGTTCACTCTTTGAACCTGACTTTAGTCATAGCTCTAACAATTTCTGAAGGCAAAGAACTTCATAGCGTAATCATATAGACATTCCAAACTACATTAATGATAAATTAAGAGCAGGGATGCCTCAAACTGCATTAAGATGGCACTTTGCTCATCTTGTGACATGAGAACAGGCTTCATTATAAGCTTCTCCAGGATATCCTTCCCTCATTTCTTCTGTTACTCCCCAACTGAAGATAAGCAGTGCCAGCCTCTTTGGTTCTTCAGCATTTCTACACCTCTGTAACTGCATGCTCACCCTTCCCTGTCCACTCCATATCAAGTATTCCAGCAAATGCAAGAGGGAGAAGTGAAAACAATTTTCTTTTCAAAACATAAAGGTCTTTTTTCACATAGGAAAGGAAAAAAGAAAGAACCCTCAAGTTTTATGTTTACCATGACAGCATTTTCAAATAGCAGTCACAGAAGCAAAACAATAGTATTTATTTTAATTGCATAAACCCAACATGAATAAATTTTATCAAGCCTGTAAGTATACAGAGATGTATTCTTTCAATATTTTTTGTATACCTTTACAAAAGGAAATATGAGCCTACAGTTTCAAGCCAAATAAAAAAATACAAGACTAAAAGTGGAGGAAGAGGCAGAAGAATGTGTGGGCTTTTACTTCAAAAAATGTATCTGGAAGACAAACAGAGAACACACAGGGAGAGCTAAAAACCAGAGCAGTTGCTGATGCCCTTGAATGTGAAACACCACCTGTAAAACCAGCTCTCTTATCCCTCACTTAATGTGTGGTGAAAGAGTCCAAAACAGAGCAGTTCTTCAGGTCTCAGATGTCCTCTGGTGCACCTGATGCTTAGTAGCCATATTTTTCATTGAGATGAGTCTTGCCATCGCCACTTTGACCTAGTGGACAAAGAGGAAGGGTTGCATTATTCTTTTTGCCCTCATCTAAGAGAAATGTGTATCCATGTATGAAATAGTCTCTAGGCCATACCAGCCATACAAGCACAAAAAGGATAAAAAGTCAGACTGGATATTACAATTCAATGAACGCATCCTTTGGTTTATATTTATAATTCATTTTAACCTTACTGAAAGTGTCAAGTTTACAGCTCCCTCTTATGGCCACAGCTCGCTTGGCTATCCCAGATCAGACCTCTGAGTTACTGAATCCAGCATTCTGCTCCACTGGATTCATATGCCAGAGATGTTCAGTCTTTTCACTGAATGATGACTCACCAGATTATAGTTTTCTTCAGTGAAATTCACTCTCATTTTTCTTATTCCCTTTGGAGCCTGTCTGTAATATAACCCTGCAACAGCCTTATAAAAAATATAGCAAAGAATTTACCAAGTGAAGGTTAGGCTTTGAATTTGCTATGGAAGCCTCAATGCATGAGAATGAATCTTCTATTCCAGAGAAACTGAAAATTCATTACACTGTTTGAGAATAACCTCACTTAGCTAAAACCACCTTGGAACTAAAGTAAAAAATCTATTCAACTTCAACATATGTTGGATGTGTGCATTGATTATTCAGTGCCTTCACCAAAGCAATTCCAAGACTTCTCTCCAAAACATCTGACTCAATGTCTGTATTCCAATGACTTGTGCAAGAAACTGCAAAGAAGATTTTCAGATTTCACAAACTTGTATAAAAACTGAGAATACTAACATGGCTGGAGCATTTATCCCTAGTGAAGGTTTGAGCTTGTCTTTCAACCAGATTGTCATATCATCATGTCTGAATGGAGTTAGTTCTGTGTATCTGTCCACTGAGATGAAGCTACTACAGACAAGGTCTGTATTTCACAGCAAGACTTGCATGGCCATGAAACAAATAGGGGGTATAACATGCCAAAAAACATCAGGTTTTGAGTAAAGTATTCCTGAATTAGCTTTTCTTGAGGACTTACATGGACATCCTGACTACTTATTACGTAGATTTCTGCGTAATAAGACTAAAACCAGTAAGGAAAGGGTTGATACCTGCAGGAGGAACCCATATGCAGTAGTCTGGGTCATCATCTGGGTACTGTGAGGAAAGAAACGATTGTTGAACCTGCAAAAATAGAAAAGATTTTTAAGGTGCTGCATCCCTCCTGCAACATGTCATAGCCCCTAAATCTCACACTGATTCAGAGACAAATACTGAAAGGTAAGGGTTATTTCTACAAGAGTCAGAGACAAAAACAGTAACACAGAAGAAAGATAAAACGCTCAAATAGATTCCAGAAGAGTCACAGACTAGTGGAAATGCTGGTTAGAGGGGACCTCTGGAGGTCAACCAGCCCAATTTCCCACTGGACACAGAACCTGTCCACTTGACAGTTTAATCTTGTCCACCTAATGTTTGGCCATGCCACTGGACACAGGATCTCTTTATGAAGGGGAAAGCTTTAGAGCAGGATTTTCAAGAAGTGTTTTACTGATTTGAATGCACAATCCCTCTGAAAACTTTTGGTTTAAGGTGACTTTTAAACTGGAGTATATAAAAGTTCAGCTGTTATATAAGGATAACTTAGTTTTCAAAAAGAAAAGAACATTTATTTTTTTTCAGGTCTCACTGGCATCCTGAAATGTTTAAAGCAAACAAAAACCAAAACAGGTCACTTGCAATGCAGTTGTTGACACAGCAATACCTTTTTGCCCCCGGTTTAAGGTTTTAAGTTTTACGGTTTTAAAGTTTGTGTTCTAAGCTGGGTTTTTTTTGTCCCTAAGTTTTAAGCTGTGCCACATCATTTATCATTTCTCAACAACTTCTGTTTTCAAGAACTGCAGGTAGCTATCAAAAAACCAATCATACTCCTGTAGGGTGCAATGAGCTCAAAATACAGCCAAGTTACTCAGCACTGATTTGTATTACTCAGTAGTAACACAATGAAGTCTTAAGTTATGCAGTTGAAGCAATTTTTCATTCCCTAAAAAAAACTTTCCTTCCCCAAATTAACCTCTAAACCAGATATATTGGAAGACTAACGTTTTCCAAAACATTAGACTGCAGAGTTGAACAGTTTTAAATATGGCTTGTGAACAATCACTTGAAATTTATTTTTCCACTTTTACATGACTCAAAGTCACTGAAGTATTAAAAGAAAAAGCTGACTTCCGGTTGATATTTTCCATGCAAGATTTGAGCACAAAGGCAGAGACAGCATGTGGAAAAAGTGATTTGTGATGGGAGAAAGAATACAGCTAGGTCATCTGGCATTTGGAGAATGCTCAGTGTTGGAGTGAACTCTCTGGTGATGAGAGGTGCTGCCTTGACTACCTCAGCATGAAAAACTGCCTTGTCCTCCCATACTCATAGAAGTGGTACCACTTGGGTTTTAACAGTATAAATATACTCTTGATTTCTTTAGCAAGGCCAGCAACAAAGGACAATTCTAAACACTGTGCCTACCCAATCCTTGGGTCCCTTGCCAGGAGTAACAAGGCAGCAGTTAGAGCTCACAGGCTGCAGGGAGTTAAGCTGCTTTCAGTAAGTGCTGCAGGGCTAAAATTAGATGGTCATCACAAAGGAACTGTCATCATGGTCAGAGCTCATGGCCCCCCAAGTACAGTCATCTCCTCTGATGGCAGCCAGCAGCTGGATGGGATCACTCTGAAGGGAAGAACCTTCACAATAATCATCAGGCTGAGAGCATGCTGTCAGAGAAGATCCTTCCCAGCTCTAGGAAGGCAATAATTGCACTGAGTCCCAAAATGTGCAAAGCTCACATACTTTACATTTTAATACAAATCTTATGCACAGGAGAAACATTGTCTAGTACGTCCACTCAAATAAAGTAATAATTTGGTTGCAAATGACAATCTCTTAGACTCATCTCTTTCCACATCTCACAGAGAAGGATGAGGTTTGATATAGACTAGCTAACAACTTTTGTACAGCGTGTTCTGCATCAGCCAATACGTGTTTACTTTTCAAGGAAAGTTTTGCAATGACATTCCAAAGCCCAGAGAACACCTATGTTCTACAACACTTGCGATACAGGAGAAGCAGCAATTAGTGCAAAGATGAAAAAATAAATTTGTGATTGAACAGAGAGCCCCTAGCATGACAGAAATGCTGTGCTTTACCTTTTCATTGAAGATTCAAAATCTGTGTCCATTAGCAGTACATAATTCTACATTTGGGTCTTAGTCAGTAGAAAAACACTACTATCACCAAGTTATACTCCATCAAATTGTTATTCACTAAAAAAAATAGCCTACTAAATGATTTCCTGAAACTCTTAAGCTGCAGAAGAGTTGTAACCGACCTTGCTTGAGCTATTGATTTTCTTAACTTTCTCAGATTTCTCTTCAGGTTCCTTATTTACTGCCTTGGATCCTGGGGAAAAAAAACAGAATTGTTTTATGACACATCACAAATAACCAGTTCTATAGAGATAAACCTACAGGAAGTTCACAGAAAAATCCAGAAGGAAACCCAAGACAGCTCACTGCAACACAATTCATACTTAAGAATAATACTGCTGAACATCTTATTGCTTTTCATAGATTTAATTTAGGTTAAACACACTGTCAGTCACCTACCTGAACACAGTTTAATAAGGTGAGGGATTCTGTAACACACTACAGTTAATGGCAGATGTTTATTTTCTAACAGGCACTTACTATCTGTAATCACTGCAGTGATTGATGTAGAAAGGAAGGAGTAGGAAATGTGCAAGACCAGTATGGCTGGGAAGAATTCTTTGGTTTTCTGCCACTTGATCCATGAAATACTGAGACCCTTATGGCTTAAGATGGGTGAGATGATGAGGACAGGACAACATACTTAGGAGTCTGAGTTATGAAAAAGTAGCAAAGTTGTACAGATCTCCATGTTCAGTACACTAAACAGACTTAATTTTGATGATCTGATTTTCTGGGTGTATATGTCAAGAGATCATTTAGGTAATTAACAGATTATTACCTAATGTTATGTAGCATTTGTAATTTAGAAAAGAAAGTTCTGTCCTTCTGCAGTTAAGAGCTACTGCAAGAGAAAAAGGTAGGAAAAAGCATTATCTTGTTCTCCTAATTTAAAATAATTTTTCTTCTCATGCTATTTTTTTAAAACAGAAGATCTCAAGGCAGTTAATGACTATGAAAAGCAAGGAGAACTGAAATACAGTGGAAGTGATCTGTCTTCACCATACACTTCACACTTCCCAAGTCAAATCCAATCCTTCATTTCAATTCTAGATTCTTTAGGCACTAGATCAGGCTTAGTTTCCTTCGACCCACAGAAGATGGTAAGTCCCTTATTCAGTTCTAAACCCACATGCTATTGTACAATGCTGTTGTACTGCTCACCTTGAGATTTCTCTTCTGAGGACCCCATTTGAGATTCATTCCTCAGTACCTTTGGCTCAGGCAGAAAATCAACCCCTGTAAAAGCAAAGAGAAAGAGCCAGGTGGCCACCCTGCAGTAACTCTGATGAGCAGAGCACTAGGATCGCTGAGACAAAGTACAAAAGGGACTCTCAGCTACATTTGTCTCAGGAAGAACACTTCTCTCAGAAGTCCTCCAAATTTTTTCATCCAGCAAGCCCATTGCAATACATTAAAGAAAAACTTCTGACCAGTTAAAACACTTTTAAAGAGCAATCTGTTCAGCATTAAGCCAAAAAATTAGAATTAGCTTTCTGTCATCAAGCACATCATTTACTGAGAAACATCACTACTGAGTTTTCAAATGCATCAAGCTGATGTAGAAAAGGAGGAACTGGAGACACCTCACAAAGGAAGATACTTCTCCATTGCCACTTTTAAAATTATGTTTCCTCCTTACAAACAGATCTGAAGCTTTGCACAGATATTTGTTTTCTTATTAAGTCACTTTCACTGCCAACAACACATCCTAGTTGTTTTCACGTGGGCAATCAATCTAATGGAAACAGGGCTTATCAAAATAGGACCCTTCTTGCATCCAGAAGATTTATTCTATTTAACCAGAATGCGTGAAAAACTGACTGCTGAGCAGAGTTTCAACTGGAACCACGTGAAACTTAGCTGCTGCCTCACAGACTCTGGATTCATGGCAAAAAAACCCTATGGAAATGAACTGGAGAACCTGTGGCTCAAACGTTAGGAGATTCATATAGCTCTGAAAAATTCAGCAGTAAAGACTCAGTTTCATTACTGGAAAAATCAAAACCAATGGTTTACCATCCTGAAGAGATTCTGGATTCTTGTTATTGCAAGGAGAACTATCAGGAGCCTTAGTTTCTTGTCCCGTTTCTTCCTCTGTTGTCATTTTCATTTCCAGATTTGATGCTCTGCTGTTTACTGCATCTCCTGCTTGCTGCTCTTCCATTTCCTCCTCTTCCTCCTCCTCCTCCTCCTCCTCTGGTCCATCATCTTTCATTTTTAACAAGTTTTCAGGGATGTCTGGACGCTTAACAGGCAATTTCTGCAGGACAAAGACTTGTGCATCAGTGCCAAGGTAAACAGACACAGATGTCACAGATACTCATTACAGGAGAAAGCACACATATTTCTGTCAGAGACAGCTGGTAAGGAAACACACTCAGGATGAAGAACAGTGATCAGGTTTTAAGGAAAAGTTATCAGTAGAGATGAAAATGAAAAAATATGTCCAGTCCATAAACAAGTAGTGCAATCTTTTCATAACACATATACTGGAAACTGAGTCAACCCTGGATATGATCTTGGCTATAAGACCAAGAAAAACAAAAGAAAGTAAAGGACCAGCTGCTGAGGTATAGCAGTGGTTCAGCCTGATGTCCTCAGACTGCCTCTACTTGATCCAGTGCCTTTTGACAGCAGCTGTGCCCCAGGAGATTGGCTGTACAAGGGCACAGAATGGCAACTGGGGGCAGCAAACAATATCCAACAGCCACTGCTTGCTGCACATGCACCTTCCACTGCCACAGGCTGCACCTCCATGCTGTTGCCATGCATGTGAGTAGACATGGTTGCCACCTACAGTCTCCATAGCCTGAGAAGGTGTCTGAGAAATAGCTACTGACTTCATACAGCACATGCAAGTCCAACTTACCCCCAGGCTTCCAGTTTTCAGTTTGAATTTGCTCCCCCCTTTCATTGCACCAAAGAGAGGCAGGTTAATCTTTTTAGGCTTGTTCTCCGCATTCAGATTGTAACTCCCAGTCCTAGTAAAAATTAGATACAAAAGAAAACAATCTAAAAAGTATCAACAAGTCTTATACATACGAATGAAAAAAATATCTGCAAATCAGAAGCGGATATATAAAAATCCTTCCATTTCTCTCCCAGTTGCAGCATCCAAGGAGAAAGCTGAAGCAGATGACTCCTCCATCCTACACACATGTTGTAGGATTCAGACACTTGCCATAACAGGAAGCAAAAAATAAACAAGAATAAAAAAATCTGTATCACACAAGACTCCCTCAAATTCAACTGCATACATACTTACATAGGTATGTAACATATATGTATATATAAAAACACACTTGGAGGCCAAACCTCAGTTTAAGTGAATTAATTAAGTAATTAAATCTCTAATCAAGCTGCCACCAGTAAATGATGAACCCAGCACACACCCTCTTGAACTGCAGTAGTGCTGCTGGGCAGCAGTTGAACAGCCACTACACTTGACTTCCAGGTACATTTCGCTGAGTGAAAGTGTTTTTCATGTTGTACAAAACACCTGTACAGGTAGATGCAGGTTGGTAAAAATATGAAGGAAGCTGACACTATGCTTCCAATCCCTTCCCCACCTCACCCTGTCAGTTTACACCTGTGTCATCTGCCTCAAGCACAGATGCTGCAATAGCCTAAGAGCACAGAGGCTCTTAGAAGAGATGAGTCAGGCAGTCCGGAAGGCTGCCCTGCTTTTGTGTTTGGAATGGTGTCTATGGATTAACAACAAGGGGAAAAGTTGTAGTTTTATGTTTTCACCAAGACTTACTGGGGCTTCAGCTCAGGCAGTTCTGCAGGCTTGACAAGTTTTATTAACCCTTTCAGTCGCTGCTGCTCTTTCTTCAGTTCAAACGACCGCAAGTGAAGCTTCTTCCGTGCCACACTGTCTAAGGCGCATCCTGATTTTATTTCTGTCATGAACTCATCCAAGGAATCTTGAGCTGCTGGCTGGGACTGGACTAGCCAAGATAAAGGGAAGATACATATTGTTATGGTGGAGAGATGAGAGCTGTACAAGAACTATCCAAGTTTTTGTTGAATGGTAAAATAATGGAGGTTGTTAGTCCCGGAAAGATGAAAGCATTTCTCCTAACAAAAGCCTGAAAGTAAACTTTAAGCTACTTACATAACAAAGCCTCTCTTAAAACCAAATGCTTCTTTGTAAGTGTCTATTCCAGGTTGTTCATCTGACTTCAAGATCAGCTCTCCCTAAAAAAGTGGCTTCGGCTGTTTTTGTAGTCAGAAACTAAAATAATCCCAGCTACAAGGAAACCTACACAGCTGCATGGGAATCCCATTTTGGCTTTCCTGGAACATTTATGTAGCAACATTTGCAAAGCTCAAAATGAATCAACACATGATGCTGCCTCCTACCCCTGAAAGAGCACATACAAACCCAATTTCAAATGCTAGGCCAATCACACAAAATCTACCTTTGCTTCAACTGGATTTTCTAACAAGAAAACAGTGCTCTGTATTTGATTTTAAATATTAGTAAGTCTATGCATATTTGTCTAATTCAAAACTCAGGAGGTAAAAACTAAATATCCAATGACTAAGAAAAAAAGAAAACAAAATTCTAACACATGGATTTCAAATAACCAGACAAAAAGACCCAGAAAAAAACCCTACTTTCCTGGGCTTGAACAATACTCTAGAAGTTTTTATATGGTGTTCAAAAAGAACTTGCAGGCAAACAAAGAAAAATGTTCTTACTAGAATTTTAACAAGTCTTTTGACAGATAGTCTTCTGCCTTTTAATATTTTACAAAAAGTGGCAAATGTATTTTCTGCCTTTTAAGTGTTTTTGTATACATGCACAAGCCTAATTATGTGATCAATGAGTTATTTTCAGTTCATCTTGAGTTAATTAAGTAGCACTTGAAATTCTAAATGTGTTCAAATAAAATAGTGCAAATTATTCTTAAGAGTACTATTCAAGCAGTTTTGTACGACTTAAGTATTTGGAGAAAAGTCTAATAAGACTCATGCTTACAAATGGACTCAACCAAAAAGGATATTTCTGATCTAAAACAAAACAGAGTTTACCACTTGAAAACAGATGAAAGTCAGAATAGGAACTGTTTAAAGATATGCAGAATTAAGAGGCTTCAAAAGATAAGAAACAGTTGCAGCATCCATCTCCACAGATAAATAATGACAAAACATGTCTCAAAAGAAATTCTGATGAGATACTCATCTTTTTCCTCATAACTACATATACAAACCAAGACAAAAAACAATAGCAAAAAGGTATTGTTAACAGACTGGAACTCCTAGCAGGCAGGAGCTGAGCAGAATGGTAACTTAATTTAAACATCAAATTTCAAAGATATGGTTTAGTGACTAGTCAGATAATTCAGAACAATTAAAGCTCCACAATTAAATCCACAGCTCACTGCTTTAGCTGCAGAATAGTGTAAGTGCTTCAGTCAGGGACTGATCTTCAGGGAGTCAGATCACCCCTTCCTGCAAATCAGATTCTCTGCTTGATTCCACCAACAGTGCCTAGTATCAGGTAGTTCACCTTACAGGATTAGGGTTCGCATTCATTGGCTGTTGCAGCAGTTTTCTATGCTATTGAAGTAAAATGTAATGTATTGAAGTAAATGACATTACTAGGAGGTGAATCAATCACGCCTATTAAACTTTATCCCAGTGAAAAAAAGCTATAGGGCTATTTACTGCACCATCAAGTTATTGATAATTTTCTTCTGAACAGGCAACCAAAGATGAGACTGAAGAGCTCTATGTATTTGACTTGCATTCAGTTACATCAGTGAGTGAGAGATACTAAGTCCATCCATCAGCAATTAGTTCTGAAGACTTCCAAGGAACTTCTACTGTGATGTTTTTAGACAACTACTTAATTTCTCCAAGTGCTTGGTAAGAGGTGTTGCAATTTAGCCTGTCATTCACTTATTGGTCTCTCCACACTCTTGCCTTTAGGCTACAAATAATCTTTTAGAGCAAACCAAAGTGCACTAAGGTTTCAGAACTGTATGTAATGCAGCAGCTTTGCCAGACAACCCATGACATTGGTAATAATCACCTATGGTCAGTAACCCTGCTCCTGGCTTACTCCACATCTGTGATTAACCTAAAGCATCCAAGTAAGTAAGAGGATCTAGAAAACACATAAACCAACTGATGATACAATATTTGCCATGTTTTATCCTGGTCTAGTTCTAGGAAATTCCCATCCAATACTGAATTATTCTGAACTGCAATAAGTGCCAAGACTGCAGGTCTTTTTCAAGGCTCTAAACTAGCTATGTAACCACTTCAAATTTACGAAAATATGTTAACATTTATCAGTATTACATGGTGCTAGGAGAAGTGTAAAAATGAACTGACTCTTCCTTCTCCCATCCTCTACTACAATATGATTTAACAGTCTTGTTGAGAAACAGTCTCAGCAGAAGCAAAGGCATCAGAACACATGAAAGCTTGGAATTACACATCTCAGACAATATAAGCATTAGCTTCTCTTGCTAGTCAACCGCTGCTTATGGAAACAGTCATGCTGAAAACAACTCTTTCAAACACACTGAGCATCAGTTAGAATGCTTGGTGGAATGGTACTGCTTTTAGAACAGGGATCTGCTATAATCAATCATCAACATAAACGTTGACACAAATGAGTTTTTGGTGTGAAGCTGAATTACTACAAAGAAACACAGCCACATAATGCACAAAAGACAGCCCAGCTGTCACATTGCTGCTAGGCTTCTTGGAGGCAAACTCTTCTGACAAACTGTTGCTGCAATCTTTACTAATGTCAACTCTATCAAAAAGGTTTTTGTATGAAGATCCAGCCTAAACACTTTTTCTCCCTGCCTTTCACTTGTTCAATTCACTGAACATATGGGTTAAGTGTCAACTGCTTTGACACCACAGTTCCCTCTTCCCAACTTTCCTTTTTAAAGTGCATTTACAATAAGAGAAGTGAAATAAAAGATACTATCTCTTCTGTCAGCTTTTCCTTCTTCCCTTATAAATTATTTTGAAGGGAGAGGAAAAAACCAGTGTTTCTCAAATTGGGTCAGTTTCACCAATATGGGCAGATAAACAGTAGTAATACCCTCTTAACTTCAGGAGCTTGTACTATGGCCAGCTTACTTTAACTTAGATGTCACTTGCTTTGGAAAAAGCTGCATTTACTAACAATTGGCTAAACACACAGAGTACACAGACTACTGGATGAAGAGCGTTAAGTATGCTCTCCAGCTGACACAGTGACCTGCAAACCTTCCTACCCTTTTGGGAAAAATGGACAGTAAAACAGTGAGAAATCAATAACATAATTTTCATATAAATGTCATGCTTACCTTTCCCTGAAGCCTTCAGCTTCTCTGTTATTTCGGAAAGCTCATTTTCAGCTTCCTCTAGCTTTGCGACCTATGAGAGAACAACATACTTAGATGGTGTTTTTATCTTCTTAAAATCCCCTTTTAATAGTTACTCAAGTATCCTACAAAACTACTTTCATTTTTCTACTTCTGATCTTTGACCAGGACTTCCTGGGCTGAAAAAATTATAGTTTAGATTGTTCCTAAACAACTTATCCCTCCTTTGACATACTGTTTAAATAACTTTTTTTCTGAAACATGAAAATATATTAACTATTCTGCAGCAGTGCCATACCACCACTGTGACCTTCCAACCCTCCTTATCCCTCATACCCTATTGTCTGTGTAGGACTTTTAGTTGTCATACACCTGTCAGTTCAGGATACTCGTTGTTTGAAGCAACATGAGATTATTCTATGGGGTGTGTCCTGTACACTTGAAACCTGGCCATTATTTTCTGATGCTTTAAAGCTATTTTAAAATTATCCCGCTCTGGCATTTCAGAACCCACTGCCTTCACCTGCCAAGTAAAAGGCAATACTATACATGTAAAAGCAAGGTAGTATGTTTCCATTACAATAAAGTAAGATCTGTTGTCAGCTATTTATAGATATTGTTCACAAATCAAAACCCCACTATTTAATCTAACTTGGCCAATTGAGACATAAAGGTCTGAAACTCTATCAGAGTTGAAGTTAACAGAAAAATCAGGAAATATTTTTGATTTTCCTTCATAGTCCTAATAAATGCATGAGGGAGTAACCCTGACATATCATAATAATTCTTCTTACCAGGGAGTCATAAGTCTCTGGTTTTTCTTCTATTTTACCAGCTTTTTTCATTCTGTTCAGTCGTTTCTTTTCCACAGCACCAGTTCGATCGAGGAAAGTGTCGTCATCACTGTCATAAAAATCCTCATCTTCCCAGTTCTTTGATTTCCTTTTTCGGGATACTGGGAAAGGTAAGGTAGAAGTCCAGAAACAAAATTATTTGTGTACCACTCAGCAATAAACCAAATTCAAGACAGCAACCTCAAATCCCTAATTTAGGGCTTTTAGAATGATCACAGCATTTGACTAGTTATTCACCTGCTTCTTGCCTCAGTACTCCCCGAGCATCGAGTAGCCTGCAAGCTTCCAGTGCACACTGGATCATTGCTTCCTTCTTCTTTCCTGAATGGAGAACCTCTGCGACGAGCTGCTTCCCTGACGCATCATCCACAGGCAACCTGCTCAGTTTGAGGGATCAGAGAGCAGCTCAGATACAAACAGCTTTTCAGGGATGCTACTCAGATATTTCATTTATCATGCTGTGGCATTGTTCTTCCCTTTCATTCTAACCTTTTTTTTTGTGGGTTAAAGTTTCCACATTTCATTTCATACAGTACCAATCAAAACACAAGCATGAATTTCCTAAAACATGCAAGTATATTTGTATTTCACTGGTCCAAACAATAATTCTGCCTGTATTTATTCCATTGGGAATATGAGAAGTTAAAAGGTTAAATGTTAATCCCTGAATCATTTTGAACACCACTATCTTGCATCCATGCAACCCTAGTAACAATATTTTCCATGCTGAAGCAAAGGGTTTTAAGTAGTACAATCACTGCAATGTTGTGCCCATTGACTCAAGACTTAGCTTGTTGACTTAACTTCCACCTCACTTTCTCCTGTCTTATAAAAGAATGGTGTTAGTAGCCTCTACCAGGAACCCGTTAAAAACTCCTTTATACCATAAAAGAACTGAAATCTGGCACAAAGTAGAACTAATGTTTTTTTTCTCTAGCACATTTGGAATGGAAAGAGATTGTTTCATAGTTTCTTCTCTTGTATTTCAATTTCACATATTTCTCAAAACAAGGGGAGCTGAAAGAACACAGACTCCTGCTTTCCTGGAAAGCCAAATGCTGCCTGAACAGAAGGGAGCACAGACACTGAACTAGGCACTGATCCTTGAACTTCTGTCCCAGTATCAGGGCATAGGTCTAATTCCAGCTGGTCTCCTTGCCAAGTATGACATGACAAGCAATTCCTTCAGCTTTTGTTTGCGAGTTCAAGGCAGTCAACTTCCATGTACAAAAGTGAACAGAGATATACATACTTGATCCTGCACAGCCAGCTGTTGTGCCCACGATCATCATATTCATACTCTAACTCTTCCCCTAGAGAGGAAAAGAAAGTTGATGTAGTAACAAAAATGGAAATAAGCAGGTATAATCTTTACAGCAGAGAAGAATGTCATGGTTAAATCAAAGGGATAAAATGGCCTTGTTACATATCAACAATTGTCTTCTCTGCAACTCCCAGTTTAGGAAGTGGTAACTGAGATTCAGATATACAATAGTGAGCCAAGTTTTAATAAAAATACCCAAACCAAACCACCACTGACCCCCACCAGAACTTGACCAAACAAAAAACTTTACCCACAATGTAACAAAAGCTTAGGTCCTACACCACACCTTAAGCCCCTGCCAAAAATAAGCACAGACAGAACACTTTCCTAAACAGAAAAACTACATTTAATTTAAAAATAAAAGAAAATAAAAAAGCACCTTCTCTGTCAAAAAAACCCTGTAAGGCTTTCCTAGGATCTTTCACGTAGAAGGCATCTTGAACATCCTGAAAATCAACAGCAATAGGGTTTTCTTCAACCTCATCTTCCTCAGCATCCTCACCTAAAAGATGTCCAAAGTGCAAAAAAATGGTGAAACATTAGGAAGAGAACATCAGTATATTTCAACTTTTATCAGTCTGAAAGAAGTAGCAGCTATGTCATCCTATAATTACTTTCCTTAACTTTAATATAATTTCTGCACCTAATAAAAAAAAATCCCACTTCATTTTTTACTATTAGTTATTCTAACATAAGAAATACTTTTGCAGATGAATGTCACTGCAGTTTCGGTACTCTCAGAAGTTTATGTGTTTATAGATTTCCATTAAAAAAACCCACCTCATTTTGTTCAAAAAAAGCTCATTAATTACAATTTATCTAGCTTTAAGATGTGGACTTCCTGTTTCAATGCTATGCAGCTATGCTGCATACAAATCTCACGCAATTCAATTTCAGCTCTGGGGCAAAGGTGTGGACATCATCACAGGAACACAACAAATAGCATTAACCTAAACTCTCAGTTTCCCTTTTATAGGCATAGGCAACATTTAAAAGGAGCTCTTGCATACTTCTCACCAGATAGAAGTTCACAGCACCCCTCTTTTTAACAGGAAAAGTACTAATTTGTACTTGAGAATGTTGACTGGTTTATGACTCTTGGCAGCCAGCTAGAATTTCAACCCTAGTATTCCCTGAAAACTGGCCTAAAGACCTTCCAAAGTGTATCAGTTGGTTTATACATCATCACTTACCCATTCCCCACGAGCAGCTCATATCACTGTTCTGACTCCTTTCACTCCTCTCCTCTTTTTCATCTTCCTCATCAGAGTCCTCTCCCAACATTGTCTTTTCTAGTTTTGCTTGCTGCTGCTTGCGCAGTGCCTTCAGTTCAGTCACAGTTAGTTCTGACTCAGACTCCTGGTCCTCTTTTGGTCCCTAAGTCCAAACAGTAACTCAGCACAAGTGTTTTTTAAAAGAAGAAGAAAACCACCCAAGTATTTTCAACACACTTGCAGATTACACACAGTGACATAAACAAATCATTATAGTGCTCTTCAAATTATTAGACCATTTGTTATGGTTTGCATTCCACAATATATTCATTTTAATGACTTTTCAAAAGGTGGTGGGGACGAGAAACAATATTATTGTGTACTTGCTGTCAGACCTGTCTCACATATAACTGAAGGCAAAAATTCCCATCATAGCTACATGGGTGAAGCTTCTGAAGTGTGTCTAGAGCACACAAAGTGCTGTCAAAGTTCCTACTACTAAGAGCTTCTCTTGTCACAAAGAAATATTAGGGTTTTATTCCACTGGGGCATCATACTGCCAAAAGGACATTCTTAATACTTCACGCTGTTGGAAAGGCCTTTTGTTCTCACTGCACATCAGCAGAAGCCTCCAAGCCTGTTCTCACACCAATTCCCAGGGCGATGCAGTCAGGGAGGAAGCGGGCGGGCGGCCCCCCAGCCCCTCTCCATCCTTAGCCCCAAACCGCACCACAGAGTCGACAGTGGATACCTACGGCCGACTACTTTTCTCCCCATAAAACAACCACGGCAGCACTGGGAGATCTTGATGCAGCCGGGTACGTTTCTGAGCCTCATCCCGGCAAACCTTTCCCACTCCCGACACACGCTCCAAAGGGGGCGGGGGCCGCCGCCGAAGCGGAGCCCGTGGCCCACCCGCACCCGGCAGTAGGTGCGGGGCGGCACCCGCGCCTTGTTGAGGAAGGTGCCGTGGGTGCTGCCCAGGTCGTACACGTAGAATCCAGCGGCATCGGCGCCG